CTCCTCCTCATTGAACCCTCCCTTTTAACCAGAAAAAAGTTGAGCAAAAACCACCTAATGTAGTGACCACATCTACTAATGCATATAACATTAGGCCCTAGTCATCTCTCATCTCTTCATCATGAAAAGAGAAGTGTGTTTCATTTTCTGTTCTCTGGGACCTTCACTGGTTTTCTAGTTACTAAGAATTTGGCTTCCTTTTGGTGATCTTTTCATTTTTACAGCTGTCATCATTTTACATATTGTTCTTTTGTTTTTGCTTATTTCATTCTACATCAGTTCATATAACTCTTCCCATGTTTCTCTGAATCCCTTATTACTGCAAAATAATATTGCTTCATGTGTATATATATATATATGCATGTGTGTGTATATATATATAATGTAATGTAATGTGTGTGTATATATATAATGTGTATATACACACACATACCATTTTTTTTGTGTTAGTCGCCAATTAACACATATTTCGTTTCCAGTTCTTTGCTGTCACAGAATTCTGCTATATGGTATAGATAGGACTTTGCTTCAATCCTTGATTTGGTGGTCCAAATCCTTCTCCCCCCCCCCAACCAAATTTTTTCTCTGAGTTTTGGAGTCTAGATTATCTTTCAGCAGGCTGTTTTTTTTTTTGACAAACCCTTCCTCCTCTCAGGACCCCCCCCCCCATTCTACCTCTTTGCCATGCACAACCCCCTTCTAATATTTGGAATTTTCTACACCAATGAAACTTAACATATTGATAATTGGTGGCTCCTTGCTGGTGACATTAGAATTAGAAAACCAGCCAGATGTACAGAAGAAGTCTGTATGCCTTCCTATAAAACCCATTACTCCCCTTCGCAATCCCTCAGTGACCCTGTTATATGGAATAATCCAGAAGTTTCTTTGTCAAAATGGGAGGAGCGATAGGAGAGGCATTTTTATAGCAATCACTATGTGCCAGGCACTCTGCTAAGTGCTCTTATAAATATCTCATTTGATCCTCACAACAACCCTGGGAGGTAGGTGCTATAATTAGCCTCATTTTGCATTTGAGGAAATTGAGGCAAACAGAAGTCAAATTACTTGGTTACCTGTTTGACCAGGATTATACAGGCTAATAATTTGTAAGGCAAGATTTGAACTCAGTTCTTCCTAACTCTAGGCCCAGCACTTTATCCACTGTATCAGCAGCTGTCCATAATAGCAGGAGACTGGGTACCAGTTGGAGATGGACTCCGTATTCTAACTTTGCTCCCTTTCTTGCATCTGTTATGGACGGTAGGCCATCTCATGTGAGGCTTGGATGCTCTCCCGTTGGTTAAGTCATGGATGTATTCTGTACCACTGGAGATCAAGTTATGTATCCTTGGCTCCCTGGTGACCTGCATCTAGAGCCATCTTAGCCTGCTTTTCCCTCGCCTCATGCCCAAATTTCTCAGATTAAGCCATAAGCTTTTGTGAAGGAAAATACATTGAATCACAACCTTGTTCTTAACTATAGCATTTACAAGCCAGCCTACTTAATCTATGAAAGCTTCAAAGTCTGAAAGCTGTTGACAAAGACGTGACAATGTGGATAGACTAGAACAATGATAACCAGTCTACAGAGGGATGAATATGTGACTGGCACTATTGGCGGACTGAGTCAGTATGAACAGATAGGAAGTCGTGGAGCGGAATATGGAGCCAGTCAAAATAAGAGCTCCACTCTGATGTGTTTTAGGCTCAGAGTCCTGGTTGTGTCCAGTGTACTCTACTTTTCATCTTTTCTTTGATCTCTGTCTCTGACTTTGAACTGAACTACCATCAGCTCTGTTGAAATGGGGCTGACCCAGGGCCACTGTGGAAATAGCTATAGAAAAACAGCTGACAGCACATAAGTTGAATTCTGTAGAATATTTTTTTGTGTCCCCGTGGAATGAGTTGCTCTGAGGGTCAGGGGATTCATGAGGACATCTTTATTATCTCTAGGAGGAAATCATAGGTCCTTATTATGGGTCCTTAGAGATCATTTTGTTCAATCCCCTAATTTTACAGATGAATGAACTGAGGCCTGGGGAGGTAAAGGACTTACCTAGAATCACTCGTTGTAGGTAGCAGAGCCGAGTTGTGAACTCATTTTTCTCTGACTTTCAATTCCAATTAATTGACATTTGAGATTTTACAACAATGAAAATCATAAATCTTTTGACTTATTGAAGAAGTGGCTGAAGAAGCTATGAGCACAATCTTTCTTCAGTTATCCCACCTGACTCAACTTTTTCCTTCATATATTAAAAGACAGGAGCCCTGACACTGTGCCTCATGCTGAAAATAGCTAGGGTGGCAGAGAGACACAGTGGATAGCATACTGTACTTGAAGTCAGGAAGACCTGGGTTTGAATCCTGCCTCCAACATTAATTAGCTATGTGATGCTGGATAAACCACTTAACCTCTGTCTGCCTCAGTTTCCCCAACTGGAAAATGAGGGTAATGATAGTACTCACCTCCAAGGGTTGTCATAAGTATAAAATATGATAATATTTGTAAAGCACTTAGTATAATATCTGGAACATAGCAGGCACTTAATAAATGCTTATTCCCCTCATATAGTGGGGAAGTGTCTAAGGTAATATTTTAATCATATCTTCCTGATTTGGGGCAGCTAGGTAGCACAGTGCACAAAATGCTGGACCTGGAGTCGGGAAGACTTATCTTTGTGAGTTCAAATCCAGCCTCAGACACTTACTAGCTGTGTGACCTTGGGCAAGTCATGGCCCTGTTTGTTCAGTTTCTCATCTGTAAAAGGAGCTGAGAAGAAAATGGCAAACCACTCCAGTATCTTTGATAAGAACAGCCCAAATGAGGTCATGAAGAGTTGGACATGACTTAAATGATTGAATAACAACAATAACTTCCTGATTCTAAGTCCTGCCCTCCATTCATTGTACCACCTAGCTCTCCATGGCACGTTAGAGAGATAGCTGGATTTAGAATCAGAGGACCTGAATTCCAATCTTGGCTATGCTACTAAGTGCCTGTATAATCTGGGAAAAGGCTCTTACTCTCTGGAGGGCTCAAATTCTCCTCTATGATGGAGAGAATTGGACTAGCACAGTATCAGACTCAAAGAATTTGGGACTTAGAAAGCTGCAAATGAACATTATTTATGTTGTGTTTTAATTCATTTTGTTCAAAGTTTCCCAAACACATTTTAATCTGGTTCTGCCTCACTCAGAGTTCTAGAAAAGAGCTTGCCTTCTGAGATTTCCTTCTAACCCTAGATCTAGATCTGATGACTCGTAGTATCTACCTCAACTAGGTGGTACAGTGTATAGAGTGCTGGGCTTGGAATCAGGAAGACCTGAGTTTAAACTTGGACTCAGATGCTTACTAGCTATGTGACCCTGGGCAAGTCACTTGACCCTGCTTGCCTCAGTCTCCTCATCTGTAAAATGAACTAGAGAAAGAAATGGCAAAACTACTCTAGTATCTCAGCCAAGAAAACTCCAAATGGGGTAATGGAGAGTCAGAAATGACTGAAAACAACTGAGTATCTACCTCACAGGGTTGTTCTGAGGCTCAAGTTTGATAGCGATGGCAAAGCAACACTTTACAAACCTTTCAGTGCTGTATAAATGTTAGTTTTTATTATAATTAACGCACATTTAGAATTGCAGTCCTCTCCAATCCCTTGAAGATGGTGCATACAGAGGAGTGGAACAGAGAAGACCTATGAGCCAGGGCTGCTGGTGAGTTCCAGACAAGGTCATGGAAACCACGTTTCTTTTTTTTCTAGTAGTTGTATCATTATCAGGTCTCCCATGATAAATCTCTGTGTACTGAATATGTGGCTAACTTACCTTGGTGAGTCTGATTTATTAGCATTGCAGCTGACAAGGTTGCCCATTTGTTAGCACTGATTTTATATTTGAATAGCTTGGTGCATATAAATTTGAAGTATTGCTCAAAGTTAGTTCAGCTGTTTCATATTTCATGGAGAAATCTGCCTAGAGGAACTTCTGCTTTTGATATTTCTATTGTGATAACTGTCCAATTTTTAATACAAATGTGCAGGGCCATTATGAGGATGCTCTGATTTGTACTTTAGAGCCTTTCCATCTGTGATTAGAATTGGATTTACTTGAAGTTGGAAAAGACTCCCTGTGTTGCTCTTACCTCTACAATAGAACCAGGGAAGTGATCTGCGAAATTCAATCTGAGATGCATAGCGTTCTAAAATTGGGGGAAGGGGCTTTAGAGGGGATCATGGTTCTAGAGCTGGAAGAGACCCCTGAGCCATCTCAATTCACCCCTCTCACTTTATGAAACTAAGGCTCATGGTGGAAAAGTGGCTTGCCCAAAGTCACTAGCAATTGTCAGGAGTGGGATTGACACTCAGGTCTACTGACTCAAGGCCAGGGCTCTTTTCACCAAGAATATGGAGAATCATGAATTTGGAGCTGGAAGGGCTCTTAGGGGTCATTGGACTAACATCATCCCTTCCTTCATTTTACAGATGAGGGAACTGAGGCCCAGAGAGGGAGAAGGAACATTTGGGGAGTGGAAGTTCACAAATGGCTTCCCGAAATTGGTTGGTGGTTAATCAAACATTCCTCCATTTTATTTTGTCTGCAAACCCATTTATGAAATAGACACAAGCATTCTCTGGGACTCAGCTTATCTTACATCCACCTGTGAGGTGATGGGGGTGGGGGGGAAGATGGCTAAATGAGCTAAGGAGACCAGACGGGAGGTTTAATTAATGAAACCAGATTTCAAAGAGCCAGAAGAGACAACTCTAAAAGTATAAACCAGAACCCTCTGCCTGTTCACAGTCCCACAGTTTTTCTTTCTTGATATTCAAATGAAGATGCTTCATATTAGCTGGAAGTTTTCAGGTTAATATTCCTTGTCATGATGATGCAGGTCCAGAGGGAGAGGCAGGAGCAGCCACAAGGTCTGCATCATGAAGAGGTCACAATAGCTGCATTATATAATTAGCAGCAACGCCTGACTCTCACAGTTACTTGGAAGCTAACCTCATTCAGCTTGACCTAACACCTGTAAGTCTCATTCAGTTTCTGCTCACTGCATTTAGTTTTGTATTTTCCAACAAGTATGAGTTTGTGCCTCCACTAGATTTTACTTTCTTGTCACCTCCTTGTGTAGTAATGACCCTGGGCTCTTAAATACTATGCCAGTGGAGCGCAAGCCCCTGTGGGGCTTGTGATCTTGTGAATAGACTTTATGTCTGGGGTTTGGTTAGCCCGGTATACCACCATATTATACTTTTTTTGGCCATAGAAAGTGATTAAGATGACTCTCCTAAGGTAAAGAGGGGCTGTGATCTTTTTCAGTATTGGGAAAATCCATATTGATGAAATCAGGGAGTTTTGAATTTAGGATTAGGGTTAGGCTGGAATTGAAAAGGCCAGAATTGATATGGTCAGTGTTTGGTGAAATATTGCGTTTTGATTTATTTGGCAGTGATTTAACATCTGAATAGGATTTATTGCTTTTGGCTGTAGAGAAGTATGTGGAGAAGTATTCAAGGATACCATGGTTTTAACACTCATGTTATCTGGAAAACTCTGTACTTTAGTATTGACTTCTCTTGACCTTCTTTCCAGACCAGGAGAAGAATCTTTAATTCTATGAGGAATTTTACTTTTTACTTCAATGGGACTCTCTGGTCTTCACACAGAGCAAAGATTATTAGAGGTTTTGTACATCTGAATAAGAGTGCTCCCCTTTCTTCATTGGGATTATGTGACAACAGCCTTGAGCTGTAGCTGATAAATCAGTGCCATCGACATTCTAAGATTCTCATTCTAGAATGATTCATGCTTTTTCCAGTAGACTGTAACCATGGGGATGACTATAACTAGAAAACCATTTAAATTCATTATTTCTCTGTTAATTTGTTTAGCGTTTACATCCTATTTATTTCCGAAAGGATCTGAGGTAGCTTAAAAAAATAAAGTTAAGGTAAAATAGGATAGTTGAGGAATAAAACAGAACAGAGACCATCTAAAAGGATGAAGTAGGACCACAGATTTAGAGCTGGAGGGAACCTCACAGGCCATATAATCCAATTTCCTCATTTTACAGATAAGGAAATTGAAAGCCTGGAGAAATTTCATGACTGAGCTAAGATCATGCAGGTAGTAAGAGACAGAACTGTGATTTGAATCAGGTCCACTGGTTCCAATTCATTCATTCAGTCAACAAGCATTTTTAAAGAACTTATGTGCCAGGCACTGTGTTAAGCACTGGGGATACAAAGAAAGTAAAGAGAGAGAGGGATTGAGAGAGAGAGAGAGAGAGAAAGTCCCTGCTCTCAAGCTTACATTCAAATCTAAGTTGCTTTCTTCTCAACTACTCTTTTATATGTTATCAGATGCCTAAAAGAAGGTTAATTACTATTCCTTGGCACTGAAATTGATTCCCAAATTTCCTGACAATTCAAGGAAAAAAAAGAAAACACATTGGATTACATAAATTTCATTATTTGACAAAGGAAAGCATCAATTCATCTTTCATCTGTAGAGAAAAATGTTTTCCTTGGCCTTGAGCAGAGATTGTCTGTTTAAGGATCCTTGTGTCCTAAGGGACTTTAGATAAATTGGAGGAAAATTACTCAATTTGCAGTCTTAGCAAAGACACAAACACTGTACCTTGCAACCATGGTCTTTGTTGTCCATGGAGGTCCAAGAGAACAATGATGAAGTTCTGTGGGACGTTTTTTGCAGCAACCTGGGATGTCATGGTCTAGGGCCACTGTTTTAGGTGCTACAACTTTATAGAGATGGAGAACTAGGAAAGTCTAGAAGACTACAGTTAATTAGATTGATCCTCTCAAATATTAGCACTCTCAAGTGGCAGGAATCTTGTTATATAGATCAGGGAGCTGAGAGGCTAGCCCTTTCGTGTTAACTCATGTCAGAGTAGCTAGCCCACCCTTATCTCTACTAGAAATATGTGTGGTTGGATGAAAAAATGGCTTGATGTGTACTTTGGACAACCTGGCTCCAATCTACTTTCTCGGTCTTCCTACTTTGCTGCTGTCCCCTATCCCCAATCCTCATACACACTTTGATCCTCTATGGCTCAGTCAAATTGGCCTTTTTGCTATTCCTCATACATTGTACCCCATGCCTGGAACATATTTTCTCCATCATACCTCTCTCTACCTCTTAGAATCCCGAATTTAAAGTTATGCTATTCCTACAAAAGGTTTTTCTTTTCCTGATACCCCCAAACCCTCTTTCCCAAGGTGCCAGTGCCTTTCTTTTCTCCAAATTGCTTTTTAATCACTTTGTATATATTTATTAGTATATATGCTATTTCCCCTGGGTAAAGGCTGACTCATTTTTCAATTTGTTACTCTAGCATAAGAGGCAGCTTGTGTAGTGGTTGATGAACTGACCTGGAGTCAGAAAGACTTGGGTTCAAGTCCTGATTCTGACATATCCTTGCTGTGTGACTCCAGGCAAGTCACTTGATATCTCTGTCCCAGTCAACTAAGCCTGAGTGTTGCAGAGCTGATGCCATTCTGTATTAGTAGAGACAGTTTCTTCATTGGAACTTTCCCATACTAGTGAAATACCAGATCCTACCCTTGGCATTGATAAGCACAGTGCCTATCCCATAAATAAATGTTTGTTGATTGATGAGAAAATTCATTTTCCAACAGCAAGCCTCTTGCTAAAGATTATATTCAAGCTAGATGGGAAAGTTGCAACATAACAATAATAAAATATCAGGTTATTTGCACTTGCTTTCATTGTCATGCCATTTTCCAAGGGTAGGATATTTAGTCATTATGAAGTCTGAGCAAAAACACCTTTAGGATCAGAAAGTATACATCAGTTTATTTATTTTTGGTGTCTTCCGCGACTTAGGAATCACCATATTACTAAAAATTGCTAGAATTGTTGGTCTAGCTCATTTAGGCTACTAGATAGCTCAGGAGGTCAGTTTTCCGTTGTGGAAGAATTAGTGATTCTAGTCTATTCCATATGAGTAAGAGAGCTCAAAAGGGAACTAGCCAGAGGCTCTAATTAACTATATAATGAATGGCTTGGAAAAGTAAAATGAGATGGTGGATTTCAGGATCAATCTCATGAGTTGGGTGCTCTACTGAGAAGTCTTGGGGTAGTACTCTTTAGACAGAAAACACAAAGCAAACAAACAAAGAAACAAAAAAACCCCTTCAAAATTAGATGATGGCTCACGGAGAGACTGTGGCAACTTGATTGGCTGCTTTCAGTTTTGAGATTATGATCAAGCAAGAAGAGGTTGGGTGTTGAGATGTTGGGCTCTGTACTGCTGGTCAGTTTGTTTTGAAATGTCTTAAGACAGCCCAACATTACCTCCAGTTAATTCTAAGAAAGATAAAGGATATATGACTCTATTGCCTTTGAGAAATAAAAAATTCCTTCTTTAAACAGAGAGACCTAGCATTTTCAAGATGTACTACATGTTTTCTACTCTTGTGGGATCCATGAAAGGCTGGGATCTTAAATGGGCCATGGTTCATTCATTCATGCATTCAATATGCATTTATTAAGTGACTACTACGATACACACTTGGTTATTAGTTAAATTCCTCATTGTAGTGTGAAAATGACCACAGGTTCCTGAAAGCTTTGCCAGCAAAGTACAAGCTCACACAGGTTCTGTAGTGCCTGGATGGAAAAGCTTTGAGAATTCCTCTGGCAACAGAATGTATCTGTTATTGGAGGACCAGCCTAGCTAAGTATGACCTAGAAATTTGAAACTGCAGTTTATTTGAGACTGAAGTTTACTGTGAAGCTTGTAGAACCTTGGACCAGTGCCTCTACTTGTCTTCTGGGACTCCTTGTATAAGGTCCCTTAATAAATTTGATCTTTCTTGAAGGCAGGGACTATTTTACTTTTATCTTTGTATTGCTAGCACTTTGTAGTGCTTGGTACCTAGTAAGGTCTTAATATAGTTATCCCTTCCACATCATGACTTTCCCCATTGAGATTTCAATATACCATGGGTCAGCATAAGAAATTAAATGGGAACATTTTGGGAGTTTTGTGGAAACTGCAGATGATGTGCAAAGGCCAACAGATGGCACAGAAAAAGGTTAGAAACTCCGAAATTCATAAAATATATATGTAGTACTGTATAATATCAACATATTTCATCTTTTAATTCCATAATTCAGAGTTTTTCTCTGGTATAAAGGGAGGGCCAAAAAATTTTACACTGATTTTTCTGGATCATGGGGGCACTGCACCCCTAACCACCCAGGTATGGAAGGGATAACTGTAATCACTTACTAAATTGACTTGACTTGAAGGAATTATACTGCTAATTCGATTATTGAATTGATTGATTTGAAGGAATTGCACCATTAGCCCAGTTGATAGACTCCTCCCATCAACCAATTTACATAGAAATGCAAGTTAGCACAAAACTTGAAAAAAAAATCTGACAAAAGGGTGTCTACTTCCAGAAGCATTTGGGTCAAGGGTCCAATCCCTCTGTCATGTGACTACTTCATAACCACGAAGGGAGGTAGGAATTTTATTGAACACCAAAAGAAGTTACTGTGCTCCACAGTTTCTGCAGAGGAGTAGGGCACTACACTCTAACTTGTGAAATGAATTTCAAAGTCAAATGTTCTCTCTTGACATTGCTTTCTGTTCACTCATCTTTGTTACTGTTCTCTTCTAAAAACGCACAAGAACATTTAGTTAGTGCTAGTTTCCAAGGCCATCTATGTAAAGATTGTACAGAGGTATAGGACCTTCCTATATTATAGACATTACAGATATCATAGACAACAAAAATGATGTCCTAGATTCTTTACTTTTTTGAACTGCTTGAAATATTACCAAGCATATATTCATTTAGGTCAATTAGCATCTCCTTTTAAAATGTAAATATCCCCAAGGCTAATTTGTACTTTGATGTTGATTAGCTTAATAACAATGCTTTTCTTCTGACCAATGGATGAGACCTGGACTGGAGATTTTGGGATTTTGTTGGCAGCAAGAAAGGGAGAGATAATTTTGTAGAACTGAT